TACTTTTTATGTACATTTCATGGTAAAATGTCCATTGTTATAATAAATGAAACTCGCGAAGTAGAAACCGTTAAGAATAGATCGCAACAATGTTTGTATTAGTGATGCTTTCCGATGGCACATATTATGTGTGTTCATTAAGTGATATATACGGTAGAAAGGGTAATAATTGCATGTTAAAGAAACCAAAGTTACGGACGAAGGCATGCATAGTGGCCGTTAACGGTAAGTACATTTTTATAAAACACTATTGTTGCTGTGGGGATCACCGGTAAATCGTTACTTTTACTTTTTCGTTGTGCCATAAGAAACACATATGTTCCTCACATAGGGCCGATATCACAGTCTCCGATTAACGTGATCCCCCGACTAAATTCACTCTGCATCTCTTTCTAACTGTCCCCCTAGAAAGAGACGAAAAGTGAGTTTAATCGGAGGATCACCCAGCGAGAAATGACCCGTCTAATCGACGTCTATAAACGTCTAATTGATGGGTCATTTCTCGCTGGGCACATTAATCGGAGACTGTGATATTGGCCCATAATATGGTATGCTATATGTAAGTTTTTCAACTATTTATTATCTGTATGGAATCACTTTTTTTCTTATGGTGACACACGTGTTAATCAGTATTATAAAAAAAATTAATGAAAGTGTAACTGTATCTTGTCAGTCTACCTTAGAAACCAAAAAATAAATTAAAGAATTGATATATATTGTGTCGTCATAAATCATTTTAAAGTACAATAAAAAAATAGGTATTGCTCGTTCAACATTCTATTTTGGCAAAAAATATTTGATTTTATAATTCTTGTTTTACTTTTATAAGGAAATATGACGATACACAATTATATATCTTTATATAAGAATTTTTCCACATTACCTTAGAGTCATATTACATTGAAAAATATAATAATACATTACAGAATATATTCTGTAATGTTTCTGATTGTGTGCAAAAAAGAAATGTGGATATTTCTTGAATCTCCTTTTTATATTTGTAGAAAATTTGGAACATCTTTCTGCAGTAAGAAGAAATTTAAACTGTAATATTCCTAGAGTAAAATTACAAACTATAGATTTCTGCAAATATGAAGCACGTAGTCAACGAAGATGTCGAATAATTAAGTCTGAAAGACTTAAATCCAAAAAAATAAAAATAGCCAGGAGCAAGCACTCGCATATTCAAGAGGAACTAAAGACCGTATATAAAAAGAGTAATCTCCCCGGTAAGAAAACAACTTAAATCTATTATAAAAGAGAACTTTTGTTGAAATGACCCGTCAATTAGACGTCTATTATCATAGATACTCTAGTAAATTTCTTCATTGAGTCTGCGTTCGTTTATTCCCGTTGGGAGCTATTGGGAAAATAAAATGTATAATACACGTAACGTATATTATAGATTTTATTTTCCCAATAGCTCCCAATGTGAATAAACGAACGCAGACTCGGTGTATATATATGTAAGGCTGAGTTTCCCCTGAGCGCATTACGCGTCGCATCATCCGAGTTAACCAATCAAAACATCCCATTTTGATCCCGTCATAAGTAGGTTGAGTTTCGATATTCACTTAATTTACTGCCAGTACTAAAAATCTATAGTATACGTGACGTAAACTATAGATTTTCAGTACTGGCAGTTAATATCGAAACGCAGCCGTAGGGCCGGTATCACAGTTTCCGATTAACGTGATCCTTCGATTAAACTCACTCTGCATCTCTTTCTAGCCCGTAATGCAATAAAATGGGATGTGTTGATTGGTTAACTTGTTATGACGCAACGCGTGATGCGCTCAGTGGAAACTCAGCCTAATACATACGCGATGTGTATAGCATTAAGCCCGGTCTACATAATTCACAGTTCGCGAAACGCAAGATACACGCACATGTCAATATAACCTCTTTAGATTGAATAACCATTTTATTTCAAAATGCGTGTTTTATTAGAAAATATTTTTGTTGATCTACTGATATTGTGCAGTTTTGGTAAGTTCATAAATTAATTTGTCCTATTGTCCTATTTTTTCATGGGATATGGATACTTTTTACTACGTTTACGCGAGCGTTACTTCTGTAGTAACGTACGATAATTCACTCGTTTACACGAATTATAATATTAAAAATAATATTAAAAATAATATTACGTAATGTTTTGAGAACGTAGATTATATTCTATTTTGTTCCACAGGTTTTCTTAACAAGGAATCAAAAAATAACTCCTGTTTAAATTCTCCCATTGATGAGAAGAATGCATCTCTGAACTGTATGTCACAAGATGATTCGAAGAGTGCAAATTGCAATGGGCCCGAATTAGATTGCGTCAGTATGACCAAAAGTGAGTAAGCTCTAACGATGTAAACACATTTGATATAAATTGAATTCGAAGCAATTAGTAATGACTTGACGTAAATGGATTAAACGAAGAAACGGATATATATATTTCTGTTTAGTACTGATAGTTATCTTCAATCTGCATGTTATATGTATATCTATAAAACATCTATGAATCAGAATTGTTTGTTTTTAAATAAGAACTTCTTAAAAATAATATTACGTAATGTTTTGAGAATATAGATTATATTCTATTTTGTTCCACAGGTTTTCTTAACGAGGAATCGAAAAATAACTCCTGTTTAAATTCTCCCATTGGTGAGAAGGATGCATCTCTGAACTGTATGTCACAAGATGATTCGAAGAGTGCAAATTGCAATGGGTCCGAATTAGATTGCGTCAGTATGAACGAAAGTGAGTAAGCTCTAACGATGCAAACACATTTGATATAAATTGAATTCGAAGCAATTAGTAATGACTTGACGTAAATGGATTAAACGAAGAAACGGATATATTCTGTTTAGTATTAATAAATTATCTTCAATCTGGGCTGCGTTCCAAAATTTAATCTTAATAACTAAAACGCTATAACGTACGTGACATAAACGTGATTTTAGTTTCCAAGGTTAAATTTTGGAACGCAGCTCTGCATGTTATGTATGTATAAAACATTTATGAATTTAAATAGTTCGTTTTTGAATAGCAACTGCTTAAAAATAATATATTTTATAATATTTCTAATTGTGTGCAAAAAAAGAAATGTGGATATTTCTTGAATCTTCTTTTTTATTTGTAGAAAATATGGAACATCTTTCTGCAGTAGAAAGAAATTTGAACTGTAATATTCCTAGAGTAAAATTACAAACTATAGATCTCTGCAAATATGAAGCACGTAGTCAACGAAGATGTCGAATAATTAAGTCTGAAATATTTAAATCCAAGAAAATAAAAAGAGCCAGGATCAAGCACTCGCATATTCAGGAGGAACTAAAGACCGTATATAAAAAGAGTAATCTCCTCGGTAAGAAAACAAACTTAAATATATTATAAAAAAGAACTTTTGTTATTATATACATATAAGTTTACTTTTAATGTAACTATTTAATTAATTTAATTCACTGATTATGGACATTGTAATCGTAATTTTATTATAATAAAATGAAAAGTAAACTTATATATATATATTATATAAATCTTATATATATATATATATTATATCTTTATAAAAATTATAGTATTAAAAATGTGTATATAATAATACATACATATATACATTTTTAATACTATAATTTTTATACGGTATAAAGATTTATATAAGTTTCATGTAAAGATTTTTTTAGTTTATTGAGTAACTGGGTTAAGTGCAAACTGGTGTATTAATGCTATCAGTACGCTTACACTCATTGCTTAAATTTCTTTCTAATATTTTTAATAAACATTTTTTTTTCGCTTACACATATAGTATTAGTAGCACGGTTTAGTTGCTTTATCATTTTGTGAAAAAAGAAAAAGAATCAGGAAATGATATGTCACGACATCCTGTATATGCATTAATACATGTTTGTACATGAAACGACCCTTTCAGTAGGCGAACGGGTTTCAGCGGCGGCGATCCTCCGTTGCACTCGCTACGGTCGAGAGAGTTTTACATGCGAGATGTTTTACGCCTATACATAATTAATATTGTTTTATGAAACACAATAGAAAACTTTTAAAAATTTATTAACAAGAATATTGCAAATGAAAAATTACGTTTATTAACAATATAAATTCTTTATAAAAACTTAAATTTCATACATTCTACAACTTTTTGACATACAAAAAAACTACTTTAAATTTAAATATTTACTTCAATTCTATATATGTTTACTCTAAACAAAGAATAGAAAAAAAAATGATTGCACTGTAGTGGGCGAACATTGTTAGACTGCGAACGTCGTATGAATGTCTCAAACTTTGGAAGTGAGCATTATGTGGATCACGACTATAGTCACTCTCCGGTCGTTACGAGCGTTTTGTGGACGATGACTGTAGTGATTGTTCGTATCGAAAGGGTTAAATTTCAGATATATAGAACTGTTTGTGATTAAAATATGGATATCAGTAAAATACATGAAGGTCAATATAATAAAAATTACTAAAAAAGAATATATTATCATATAAATTAGTGAACTTATCAAATAACACATATATTTTACATAATCATATTTGCGTCTTATACCTTCTACATCTTTTATATTTAAAATAATACAAATATGGCGCGTAGTATCAGTGAAGTGTGTTCGATTTGCGGACTCAACCTGATACCGAGGGTGCGTTCCACTTATCGCTCACAATTAGACGTCTACAGACGGGTCATTTCTCGCTGGGATCACCAGATCAAAAGTCCGATTTGAAACTCGATGTCTGCAAAAATCGGACTTTTGATCTGACTCGAGTTGACTCGGTGACAATACATATGTATGTAATACATACGCGATGTGTACATGCTTACGTAGAAGTGCACAAAAGTGTAGTAAATGCAAAGCTTCGTTCAGAAATTCAACTGGTAACTCCAAGCTATAGTTTATGTCACGTATGCTATAGCATTAAGCCCGGTCTATATAATTCATAGTTCGCGAAACGCAAGATACACGGATAGTCTACATGTTAATATAATACCTCTATATATCTCTAATATACCTCTATACACAGAGGTTAGATTGACATGTGGACTATGCGTGTGTCTTGCGTTTCGCGAACTGTGAATAAATGTAGATCGGGCTTTAGAGTTACCTAGGTATGCTTAGGCGTAATTCCTGAACGCACTCCAGAATTGAAGACGCGAACAGAAAAGTCGTTCAATGGTGTTGTGTCGGTCACATGTATATTTAATCAAAATCATCTCCTTCATAATGTGCAATGGAACAGCGCGAAAACTTTTTTATTAACTTTTTAAAAGTAATAACTAATTATTCCCCTTATTATTATCCACAACTTATTCTGTTTTCTTATCGTTAACTGTGGATAACCTTTCTACAGCCACATAGTCGAGAGCTATTATCATTTGACACACATTGTGAATATCCAATTTATTTCAAAATGCGTGTTTTATTAGAAAATATTTTTGTTGATCTACTGATATTGTGTAGTTTTGGTAAGTTCATAAATTAATTTATCAACATACGTTCCTATTTTTTCATGGGGTATGGATATCTCTTACACTACGTTTATGCGAGCGTTACTTCTGTAGTAAC